ATACGCATCTCATAACGCGACAGCTCCAGAAGCCCTCATTGCCCAATTGGTCAACAAAAGCATGAATGGTGCTTTGTCCCTCGCAAATATCTCGCCGAGTTCGAGCAATGCAGTTTTGTATGTCTTGTCGTGTTGCAAGACTTTTAATGCCTTGTTCTCGCATATAGATTTGGATGTCTTTTGGCGCTGCTCTAGTAGATAATAATTTTGATACGCACTCTTTCTCAACCTTCCCTAGTTGACGATGTGCTGGATGCGCTGCTGGATGTGGACTTGGTGCATGATTATGGTGATGAAATTCTGGATTGCGATGTTGGACTATCCACGAGCCATCAGGGAATTCCTTTGCAATGACAGAGAATCGGCAGCTAGTTCCTCTAGTTGAAGTCATCCGTTGCCTTTTTCTCGAAGTATCAGCCGGCTTACACGCTCTGTCGCATGTATATGTAACGGTACGTAGACCATTCTTTTCAATCGTTGATCTTCCGGTAACAAATGCGTAGCCGCGTGATTCTGCCCATTTATTAATATGAGCATAAAGGGACTCGCGGGACTCATACCTCTGTACTGGAGGCATGCAATCGTCAGGAAATGAGGCCAGTAGGTTGTTCATGATGATTCATAGAGCATTTGGCTTGCTGTCTGCCAATTCCGAGATCTGATGAAACCGAGCGTAGCTGTGCTCTCAGGCATCGATTACGTTGAGTGAAGGCACCTTATTAATGCAGCTATTTGTACAGCGAAAAATCGCGACGACAAGCCGACCTCTCTATAGAATGCCGCCACTTGGAGGAATGCTGTCGCAGTTTCCTGAAGGGCTGGAAATCGTGACATGTTGCGATGCCATGCAGCAAATAATTCAAGTCGCCCCTTTGCAATGGAAGACTTCATAAGCCTGACAAGCGAGTCGCTTGGAGCGACTCTTGCACTGCGAGAATGTCGAGCGGCATCGATGCTGAACTCCCCCAAGGTAACGGGCGACCAGTAAGGTAGAGGGTCCTTCAGTGAATTGGCAACAAAATAATCCTACGAGCCCTCATGGAATATGACTACTGCCCCACAGGTGCATGCTGCCTATGTTACAGCTTGTTTGCTATGAGTGAGCCACTGGATCTCGACTTACTCTGGGCTATTAATCAAGATCGCTGCGCAAAACAGGCTCATCATTTTGTGATTCGGCTGAAGACCCGCTTATTGCGACGGGCCCGCGGCAAATTATAGCCACGGGACCCGTGGCCGTACCGCGTCCCGCTGGGGTAGGCTTGCTTAGTCA